GTAAGAGCTGCACAGTTATGAATAAAGGCAGCTGCACCCTCTTTCATTCAGCATTCCCATTATTGCTTTATAAATGTATTGCCCCCTTGTGTGTCCACTGAGGTTCGTCAGGCCCAACACATCTTCAACAAACTCCCCCTTTGCCTCATCATAAAAACTCACAAACACCAGCAACTGAGCAGTGTCAGTGGACTCACCCACAGCTAAGGAAATGCACTGTGCATTTTTTATTCCATCACAAAGCTGATGAATCAAATCACCAGCCAGTATTTATGTTCTGGTTGCTGTGGAATCTGAGAGGGGGATTTGCTTGATTTTACCTGTTATTTCCTCTTTTTGTTTGCCTTCATCATGGTCTCCATCACTTCAGTCATGCATTATTTTATACTTCAGTTATTATCCAGTGGAAAGTCCTTACCTACTGGCCTAGTTCAATCAAAGTGGTTACTTTTTTTTTGGCTGGGCAGTGTAGTTTTACACACCGTCTTATTTGACTTTCTCAGGACTTAAAACAGTTTTTTGGGGGCAGACCCCCTCAAAGAAAAAAATATATTTACACACGTAAAGTCATCATCTTAATAGTTGTGTATGCTCATCCGTGAGCAGAGCATCAAGTTGACATGTCTATTACAGCTGAATGCGGCGATTACCATTTTGTTCAGCAAAACGCCTCACAAACGTATTAAGATCAACAGCTTTAGTGCGTTTTGATTCAATGCTGAGTACAGCCAAACTGACAGTCTCTTCTCTGTCATTGTAGACCGCAAATACCTCATTGCTTCAGTGCTTGGGTCCGAATGCTTCTCGTTTTGCGCCGTCCAGTTCAAAATGAAATCGCCGCCAATCGTATGTCCACGCTCGCGCCAGGACCGGGGGAGGGGTTACATGACGTGCATCTTGTGCTGCATTCACTTGCACTCGGACATTAGAGACTTTCTCTCATAAATGTCCGATGAGCCACAACTTTTCTTTCAAAACAAAGCTGCCAACTGGGGTGGCAGCTGGGGTGTCAGTTGCCACCCCGGTAGGTGAAACTAGGCTACTAGCTACAGTACAGATGGAACTAGATGAGCTGTTAACTCTCGCTCTGAATTTATTTATTTTAAATTCTCGCTCTGACTTAGACAGGTTGAAAGAGACACACACATTTTTCCCACCCGCATTCCGCGAAGACCCGCCCTACTGTGCCTCTGATTCGCAGATTGTTTGGGGGAAAAAAACGCTGACTGGATGCTGAATGTGATTGGACCAAAGCGTTGACAGACACAGGTGGAACACAGTGGAACAGTCAGACATGCAGAGCGCTGTTTGCAGTGGACATAGCGGATAATTTTGACTCGTTGCGAATGCGTTGTGGCGATGTCTCACATATAATACAGAGAGATAATACATATGAAAAGTATAATTTGCTCAGAGTCCGGAGACAGTGGTGGTTCGGTCCGGATCCGGACCGGAGTCCGTAGTTTGAGGATGCCTGGCTTAGATACTATACTTAAATAATCTGTGGAGTCTCCGCTTTAATCGGATATATTATATGTGCAGTTTCGATAAGTAATAAGGGTATCTTTATTTTGAATTATGTGCTAAAGTGCGTTAGCATTTTTTTTTTTTAATGAATAAAACCGCACGTCCCTGCAGTGTGAATATCGTGCATACGCATATCGCGGTTATCGCCATGACATGGTATACCGTTCAGCCCTAGTAAATATACAGCACCACAAAAAGAGCTCCTTACATAAAATGTGTCATGTATTTCCCGTGTATTTTTCTATTTTTATGATTCCTCTAAAAGTAACTAAGGAAAGTTGTGATGTAGGGTTAATGTCAACAACAAATTAGTTTAGAAAGAAATTGTGTACAAACAATGAGTTTTCCCCAAGGATTTCTCTTTCTATAAGCAACCAAGTGAACTTCTTCTACCATAAACTCTATGAAACCTGATATACTTATATGATTCTGTTTTCTTCAAGGTTGTGTCTTCCTGGTCGAATGTACTTATTGTAAGTCGCTTTGGACAAAAGCGTCAGCTAAATGCAATGTAATGTAATGTAATGTAATGTAAACTGTTTTAGTTAACCACAAAGCATTTCTCAGTATTACTAGATTGTATTTTATTCATATAAGTCATGATAACATCTGAATAATGCACAGGACTTATATAATAACAGCAAAACGTTTTACTTTTGACTTTATACGGCATAGTTTGGTATTTGTATAAGTTGGATAAAATATAATATATATCAATGATTTCACAGCATGTGTTTAGCAAAAGTACTACAAATGTGTCATCAATATATCAAAAAGTAAACCACAACACAACTTTACAAAATGACAATAGCATATGTGTGCAAGACAATAACATTTTTTTAAGCGCAGTCACATGCTGGATAACTGCTGTATAAGAAAGGTAAGTTAAAGATATCTGGTTGGCTGCAGAACTCACATGAAAACTTTAAAAAGATCTCATCACTTTTGGTCAAACTTTAAGCTGCATCCATCTCAATGCTTCCTGGATGTTGTGATCACAGCTGGCTAATCGACTGGGAGCCTGTCTCTCGAGTTTTCTTCTCTGAACTCTCAGGGTTGTCTACTTGGGACAGATGCAGAGCTTTCCTGCAGATGTTCTTGAAGGTAGGGCTGGAGAAGTAGTAAACCACAGGGTCCAACACGCTGTTGAGATACGTCAGGCTGATGCTGAGGTAAAACAGGGTGGTCAGGTTATCCATCGCCTGGCAGACTTCAGGTCCCGAGAGGTTTCCGGCTAACTGCTGGGTCTTGATCCAAATGATCAGCTGCGTGATGTTGCTAGGGAGGAAGCAAACGATGAAGATCACCGCGACGACTGCGATCAAGCAAAGAGCCTTTTTAATCTTTCGTTGCTGGGACAACTGTCTCCGTCTCAGGTGTCTGATAATCTGGATCGTGCAGTAGAGAATCACAAGCAGAGGCATATAGAAGGAGAAGATAAACACAAACGTGTGCCAGTTCAGATTGAGCGAGGCTTCAGTCTTGATCGTGAAGCTCTCGCAGTAGGTCGTGTTGATGTGTTGCAGACTAAAAATATTAACTGTCATTGAGAAAGTTACCAGCCACAGTACAAGTGCTCCACACATGGCTTTAGGGATGCTCAGAGAGTTGATGGAGTGATGGGGGTGCACCACTCGCATGTACCTGTCCACAGCGATGGCCATGAGGAAGATGCTGCTTCCACTGCGGTTCAGGGCCAACATGAAGAGGCAGATGTTGCACAGAGGGATTCCAAACGGCCACTTGATCCCAGAGAAGTAGTAGCTTGCACGGAAAGGCAACGCCACGATCAGCATGAAATCAGCCATTGCCAGGTTGAAGAGTAACACCGTGCTGCTCTTCCAGTGCTTCATGTGGAAGCAGAAGATCCAGAGAGCCAAACCATTGCCAACGACTCCCAAAACAAACTCTGTCATCAGCAGTGGCGGCAGCACGCTGGTGAGCAGAGTGCCGTTGAATTCGCATCTCATGTTGAGTTATGTGCTGCCTCACTGCCTACAGATGAGACAAATAACCCCTTCAAGGTGTTGCTGCATCATAAAGCGAAACATAAGGAAATAAGTGGTTGTGGTTTGCTCATTTACAGGAAGCCCTGTGGTTCTCCTTTTTTTAATTAAATGTTGACACACTCAGCTATCTTTGTTTGCCAGTGATGATTAATTTCTTTAGAATGCTTGAAATGAATGTACATTTCCTTGTGTGTCCAGTTTTACAGTGCTTTCTGAGGAAAACTTAAAAACAGAACTTCTGAAGCAGAGTTTTTCTTGGGAACCTGTTGTCTGTCTGCCCAGCTGCGGGGGCAGAATAGTGTTGTTTAAAAGTGTCTACTGTTTCATGTTTTGTAGTAGCCTTAGTGTAAAACAGTTTTATTGAATAAGAATTGCATTTGATGATACTTAATAATTATATTTAAATATTACCTACATATTTATTAAATGAAAGATAAGAATAGCAAGTAAAAACAACCTGAAAAGCCAAATATTTTTTACTGGAGATTTGTAATAAGATGCAAATGTAATCTTAAGTAAAATCGACTATACAATAGTAAGTCAAAATGTACTTACAAAAACTGAGTGTGACAGTAAAGTTTACTTAAGTGCCTTTAGTAACAAATACTTCTTAACTGTAAGTAGAAGCTACTTGAAATATACGTTGTTAAATGTACTTAGGTTTTCTGAGTGCGTTTTCTTACCTCGATTTTCCTAAGTAAATCTTACTCCCCGTTTTTTTCAGTGTATCTTTGTTTCCCAGGGATGATTAATTTATTTAGAATGTAACAAAGGATTGGCTAATTACCTCCAAGAGAAAAGAAACAGGCTCACAATATTCTTGTATGTGAAAACCCATTATTGTTGTACCCTTACATTATTATTCTTCTTAACGCATTATTTTTCCAATTAAAAACAATTCACTTGAATATAGTCTTCCTGGTAGTTAAAAACACATTTTTGCAGTAAGAAAGCACCTTAATTTCAAAGGCTGTAGCGCCTATTTTGATATTTTGATATCGATAGCAGCGTCCCTAGCAACCACCGTGGTAACAATGAAAACGTTGAATGGACACAATTTCCTGAAGTAATCTTCGTAATAACTAGCAAACTAAAGATCATGTGCATCCACTGCACACATAATCTGAAATAACTCATATTTCTCGCATCAAATGACGTCAAAACGCATTTTAATGGCCAAACTAATCTTAAAATAGGCATTTTCCACCGAGAATAAAACGAATGTCGGCCATGTTTTCTTTTTCTGCAGGGAGAAATTTGAAGATCACGTGACATAGACGCCAGCCATTGGAATGAATGGTGAAAAAAAACGTAGGGATTTTACAATTTCAGAGGCGTTTTTGTTGAAATACTACGTCCTACGTTGTGGACCAACGTAGTTATTACACGTTTTTTTGTGAGACTGGGTTGGGAATACTTTGACTTCCTCAAGGAAAATGCTTCAAAATGGTGTAAAGTTAGTAGTCAGTACTCACGCTTTTGGATTATATGCATGTATTTCAGAGCCTCTACCATCCCCTGAGCCACGACCATCTGGTTCTTCTTGTGCTATTAAAGACAAAGACATTTAGTAAACATTGCACCTCTGAAACAAGTTAGAGTAGAAGATCAGTGAATAATTAAAAGTCTGCAAGCGGAAATGCTCCCAGGGAGAAACCTTGGTATATCAAATATTATCTATGATGACAGAACAGATGCAATGTTGTAATTACATTTACTGCTCAGCAATAAAAAGCTGCTTAAAACCGTCTTGAAATGGGACAACATGAACTCAGTAGTCTGGAAATTACTTTCAGAAAATACAAGATTGTAAAATGCAAATTTAATTTAATTTCAGACTTCTTTTCCTCTCCTCACCTCATCAGAAATGTGGTCTTTGTCCTCCAGCTGCAGCCTGGCCCAGGTGGTGAGGCGCTCGATCACACACTCTGCCTCGGCACAGGACAGCTTCTTCAGGACAGTCATGCACTCCTCAGTCTGAAAGCAGCATACAACACTTCCTATCAATACATCAAGGTAACAGTTAATCTGGGGATTTCATATCTTCACGTGGATGAGCTTACCCTGCCTTGGCCGATCAGCTGAGTGAGAAATAAGTAATTAATCTGCGAGGTGGGAAGTTTGTACGCTTCAGCTAAAGTCAGCGAGTCATCTAAGGACATTGGCAAGTCTTGCTTTAGGATGTATCTAATCAGCGTCTGGGGAAGATATGCAGAATATTACAGAGGCAGATCATCATTTCACATATTCAATCAAATTTACCATAATTTGAGTGCTGTTAGAGAGGTTGAAGTTGCGGATCCCGTAACCCCGGAGAAGTTTCCTGATCTCCATCAGACGGTAGCTCTCCTTTAAAAGCTCTTGTCTGGGAAAGATACCAGAAGAAAATTACTAAGAAAGAGCTTTAATTCAGTTTGTTTGTCAGCTCATAGACTCATATTGTGAAATGTTGAGTACTCTACTTTTAGTAAAGTCTGAAGTTTTAGTGGACTCTGGACAGATTGCTTATTTATTTGAAAAATAATTGGACACACTAAAAAGGTAATCATTTTCATTTCGTGTTCTCTATATCCAATGGTAGTCAAAATCTGGATTGCAAATATGACCACTTTCTGGTTAAATCTGCAATTTTTGATCCTAATAATGTCAGAAATGGATTCAACATCCTCAATAACCTCCAAAACCACTTCAAAATGGTTCAAATTGGCCAAGCCATTTTTTGTCTGCATATATAGGCTATAATGCTAATTAACACAACTTATTCTAATGATGCAAATTGCCCAACATATGCGAGTTAGCATCAGGCAGTTTGTTATTGCTGGGGACCCGTACTATACATTTCTAACATAAAACTTTGGGCCACTCAACATTTCCGTGTTCACAGACTTGACTACTTGTGTCACGATCTGTCTGTGTTGTTGTTTTGTCTTGTCTTTTTCTATCTTTGGGTTTCCTGTTTTATTTTGTAAATTGTTCACCCCCGTTTCCTGCCTGTTGCTTTCTGTCTGTTTTCCCTCCCTGATTACCCGATTGTGTTCACCTGGTGCCTCTGTGTTTTCTCCTCCCTCCTCACCTGTGTCTTGTTTGTGTGATTAGTCTTGTGTGTATTTAAGTTCTGGTTTTTCTGTCTGTCTTTGTCGGTTCGTCTTTCGTTGTTGACTGTGTTCACCGGTGAGTGTTCTGTCTGTCCTAGTTCTATTTTTCATTATCCTTGAAATAAAGGTTAAATCAGGTTAATCTGCATTTGGGTCCTGCTTCCTTCGCTCTACCGTGACAACTTGTGTGAACCAAGTTCATAACCCAAGTGAGGGTTATGTAAACATACTTTGGTCCATCCATCTCGAGGTACTGCTGGACCAGCTGTTCTACCACTTTACTCCAGGGCACCACGGCTTTCTGCATGATCTCCAGCACAGCATCCACCTTCATCTGGAAGAAAATACAATACCGTGAGATTTAATAAACCTTAGAACAAACGTAATGTTTTTACTAGCGTATCATTATCTCTGCCAGGGAGATATTGTGTAAGGCAGTATGTGTGTGTGTGTGTTTTTGTCCACGGCTCCTCACGCCAATCATTAGCTTTCCTGTCGAATCAGCATATTTTCATAACTCTATAAATGAGTCCAGTTATTGCGGGAATTTGGATTTTTTTCTTTCCAGTTTTTAATGAAGTGGGTTTTTACAGAAACTTACATCAGTATCATTTATGCAATCGAGCACCGTCACCGCTTTGGCTTCCCATTCTGTGAAGAGTGTTGTGGTCTGAGAGCTGCAGTGCTCCAGCAGATCCTAGTGAACAAGAGGAGAATCATTGACCCATTTGGTATATGAAATGTGTTTTTCCGCCAGTGGGCATGGCAGTGGTGAGGTGTTACCTTGATGTACTGTAGGAGCATCTCATCAAAAGGAGTCTCGTGCTCTTCGGCGTACGGCAGGATTCTGCTCTCCACCGTGGCGGCGATCAGCTCAGGAGCCGGCACTTTGTCCAGCATGTAGAACACCACGCTCCTTACACTTCCCTTTAAAATATAAATATAGGAACATCAACACAAGACCTACTCAGAATGTCTCATAAACACAACTCCATAGAATACTTAGAACAGGGGTGTCCAAACTACGGCCCGGGGTCCAAATATGGCTCGTGGACCATTTTGAAATCGGCCCTCAGCAAATTCAAAAAGAACAATAAACTTCTGCTTGTCTTATATATTGTACTTCTTAAATATATATTTTCAAATAAATTACACAGTATTCATGTGTTAATAAGCCCAATTTTCAAATAAAATTAAAGTTGAAAACATGTTCTAACAAATCTAAGTTGATAAGAAAAAAGCCCAATAAAACATTTACATAACAATCTGGAAATACACCCTTCATATTTCCTCATATTATGAGCATTCTGAAGCTTCTGTTTTAAGGAATGAGCTGCTCACAAAGTAAATGAAACCTTATGGAAAGCTGTGATGTAGGCTGTTTTTTTTCTAACAGCATTTTCAAGTATCAAATGTAGGTGTTTTAGCAGCAACAGTAACAAGATAAAAACACAGGATACTAGAGAGTTAGAATCACAAATACAAATAAATCAAGTGACAGTATTGGATTCAAATCTAAATATATACAATTAGGAATATGTTAAGTATTCCCCCCCTCCCTCCCTGTGAGCCCACTGTGCTCTGATTGGTCAGCTCGCCCACTCTGTTCAGATGAGTCCATCACCGTTACAGCGGAACATCAGTGATTGTGTTACAATGGCATTAGTTAGCAACCAGAAAATGACACCAGTAATGACAAAGAGATGAGAATGCTGCGTGGGGTCTGGGTGCCGTGTTGGCAGGGGCTCGCTGCTGTGAGGAGGGGACAGTGTGAGCTCTATTACTGGTGTTGTTTCCTGGTTGCTGCGTGGGGTCTGCGAGACAGCGAGACATCGCGACACTCAGCCTGAACTCAGCCTGAGCACCATGGACGCGGGAAGGGGGGGTGCTGAGGGGGCTGCAGCACCCTCATCTGCGAGGCTCCACTAGCACCCGCACCCCCAAACGCGGCGCACCTACAGTGTAAGCGTGCCACAGTTTCGCTGCTACGAGGCTCCACTAGCACCCCCCCCCCCATCGCCTCACAGTTTCGCCGATGAGAGAGTGTGTGTGTGTGAGGAGCTCCACGGATTGGTCCATTTGGACCAATGGGTCCATTTGGGTATGGTCACGTCACTGTACCCAGGAAGAAAAAGAAAAATCTCCAACGAGGTGTTCTGGGGCAGTATAGACAGGTATTTTCTGTGTTAGAGTTTTACTCGCTACAGGGTGTACTTTGAGGCTTTGAGACTCTGCAGACCATTTACATGCAGAAAAACCTTCATAACACATAAGGGGACGGGTAATAACCGGAAAAGCATGACATGGGACCTTTTAAAATGTAATCAGTCACAAAAGGAATCAAACCTTCTCAAAGACTGAAAGTGAAAGTCTGCAGCTGTATTTCCTGTGGAGGTCCAGGAGCTGCCGGAGGTTCGACACCAGGGACTTCAGGCTCTCCACCTCTTCTGCACCATAATCATCATCCTGGGAAAGAAAGGATGGGAATAAATAATTAATTGCACGACAGGCTGTCTGTGGGGGGTGTTGTGCATTGTTTTGCATGTTGTGTTAAATGTGTGAAACTCAATAAAGAGTATTTAAAAAGAACGAATAGATCATAATTGTGGAGGCACCATTTTGTTGTACTTACAGACTTAATCTGTAGCGAAGGCAGTCCAAGCACGGCCAAGTCCAACCCGTTCTGGGGCCAAGCACCCTGGAACAACATATTTCAATTATAATCATTATTTTTATTGTGAGTGATCCTTTTAGTACAACCAATTGAAACACAACAATTAAAAAATATGTATATAAAAAGTACTGAGCAAGTGATGGACAATCCATTGATGTCATTTCAGCTTGCAATACTTTCCTTAAGTCATTCAAATCATTGATCATCACCATTGGAAGGTGCATAATTATAAAGCCCAGTTTTACTAAACTTTTAGCTTCAAATTAGTTTTTGTTTATACCTTTTCCTTGCCCTCTGCTCCAGCCATCTCGCCAGGATTTTCTATGGACACATCAAGAAATAACTTTTACTACTGAAACATAGCACCATATGGGGAAAATGAGTACTTAATCATTGAGAGAAGGTATCCCACCTGTCCTGATGGAAGCACTCTCCTCACAAAAGGTACAAAAACGGTCCTGAACCAAGGACAGAGGTCTTGGGATGGCAGGTCCTCTGGGGATAACATCGAGCACCGCTTTAAGATTCCTCTCATCGAACTCCGCTGCAATGTGTCCCTGTCACAAAACACAGAAATAACATAATACACAACAGACCTGGGGAACACCGGGATATTTATTACAGATTTGTTTTAACAACGGAGTGCACAGAGCTGTTCTTTACCTCATATCTGAGCCAAATGAGTTGTGCACCCTTCAAGTCTCCCTCTCTCAGGTGGGAGAGAATATCTCCCAAATTGTCCATGCTGTTCAGAAACTCAATCCATGCGATGCCACTATGGATGACAGGATAACATAAATGAACAAATTGTACATATGTGTAATTCAAAAACAAACTGCAGCTGCAACCATAGACAATAGATACAAAAATAATCGATTATTGTTCAAAATGAATAAACTATGCAAAACTGGCAATTTCAGCCTCTCAAATATAGAGTTTTGCTGCTTTTTTTAAATCATATGTACTCATAAAACAAGACATTTAAGGACATCAGCTCAGACTTTGAGAATCTGGGATGCACATTAACTATTTTCTGACATTTTATCAATGAAATAAATATTGGTTTAAGTAATTGGCAGTAGTTGGAGGTCTACAACAGACCATATATTGCTAAATGTACTGTAGAACACAGGAGACCACCAATAATTTGAATTTACTTGAAGTTGTCCAGGCCGTGCAGACTGCAGCACGTAGCCAGCCTGGCCAGAGCCAGCTACACCATCAGTATAGTAACACAACTAATGTTGTTTTCTACTCTGAGAGCACAAATCTCTTGTCTTTAATTCAATTGTCTAAATTTACATAAATAAAAAATATCTAGCCCTCAAAAGTCCAATAGATGTTACTTTTCTACTGCACACTTACCTCTAAATCCAGATCAAATGTGATGGCAAACTTGTCAGCCTCCTCAAACATGTGTTTGTGAAGAAGTCTGCTTAGTCTGAAAAATAGAGGAGGATGAACATAAGTGGAGTTATACTGACATCCTGTGGACCAGGGGTTCCCAACCTTTTTTCCCAAGAGCCCCCCCAAATTACTCCTGTTGGAAGTTGTTTTTATTAGCCTTAATATTAAGTAACATTAAGTAACCCAAAATGTTAAACAGTATGAGTAGTAGTCATGTTTCGTGAACCCTTTGAAGAGTACTGTCACCGGTGTGATCACAAATGGTTGACATTAAACATTAAAAAGACCAGGCAGTTCAGAGAGAATCAAAGGAAGGCAGGCAGGCAGCTTTGCATGACATTCTTCTGGACGTGTTTCATTGTGGTGATAGTGAGGATAGTCAATCGTTTTGTTGACAAGACAGTAGTGACGGCCATCTTGGTGACGTATGTTGTTCTGCGAGACCAGAGATGTAGTTCATTGAGCATTTCACACAAACAAATGTGTTACTTCACAGTTTTACGACATTTTTTTTTTCGACTTGCAAAATTATCTTTTAAATTGACAAACATCATATGTGTAATTCGTGGCACAATTCAAACGGGATCGAAAAATAATCTTTCTCTCTCCATTGACTTCAATACATAATTTTTTCGAAATAAGGTCCCATGGAGCTCCCCCGGAAGGGGAGGGACTTCGCCACTCAAGATGAGAGTAACACCTACGTCACTTCCGGGCAAAAATTACGGCCCCGCCCACTTTTGGGGGAAACCAACGCTGTCATTTGAATGGCGGTCAATACAAATTCTGAAGTTTTTGCCAATCCGATCAACATTTTTTGAAAACCGTGGATTTTTGGACCTTCAAAGAGCTCGATTACGATGGCCAGTCAGGCAAACAATTACATTCGATCATTGGAAATCGACAATCGGTCTCGATATATGGTTAAATTAAAATCAGTAGGCGAGCCTGTAATTTCTCCAGCTGTTACTCTCATGAGCGAGGCGGAACATAATAGTTTTAACATGCCAAAAAGCTGCTGTGTCGTTTATTGCACCTCAAACATAAAAAATAATCAAGAGTTCAGTGTTTCTGTACTTCCTCTAAGAAGAAAGGACAGTAACAGAAGAGCTCTGTGGCTTCAGGCTCGATCGCCATTCAAATGACAGCATTGTTTCCCCCAAAAGTGGGCGGGGCCGTAAAGTCATGTAGATGTTACTCTCATCTATGAAAATCGATCGCCTGCTATATTTAACCATATATCGAGCCCGATCGTCGATTTCTAATGGCTTAATGCAATTGTTAGCCTGTCTGGCCATTGGAATCGGGCTCTTTGAAGATCCAAAAGTCTCCGGTTTTCTTACATTTCTGATCGGATTGGCAAAAACTTAAGAATTTGTATTGACCGCCGTTCAACTGACAGCGTTGTTTTCCCCCAAAAGTGGGCGGAGCCGTTATTTTTGCACGGAAGTGACGCATTTGTTACTCTCATGTGTGACAGTGAAGAAACATTTACAATTTACATTTAAATCCCGCTCAAAACCAGGACGGCTTGGCGCATGCGCAATTAATTTACAGTCTCGACACGGGAGGGTGTGGCTGTCTCCTCTCTGCTGACTGCAGCTGAGCTGCTGCGGGAGGCAACTAGCGCCTGTGAGTACTATGGGAGGGCAGAGGGGTTCACGGCAGTACCCGCGGCTCGTTAACTGCTGAACAATACGTGAGTCTCCAAACACCAGAAGAGTCCCTAATAACAGCATTACAAGTTGTTAGATTAGTTGTTAGTCGCTTTTGACAAAAATAAGTAGCCGGAGGGTTTGGAAAGCCGGCAACACTGGGCTCTTATTTCTGCCGGAGGACCGATGAGCGAGGAGCGATAATGGAGGACCGATAATCGAGGAACCACCAGACCATCCTCCGATGAAATCCTCCGATACTCGCCCCGCCCCCTTACTGTGTATCGCTCACTGATTGGACGATGCAGTGCATGCACTGATCTCATGCTTCTTGACATGAGAGCAGTTTCCCAGCGGAGTGAAGAAAATACATGAAACTCACGGGACTCACTCCTCAGTCCATACTGTGTTTTGTTTCAATTATTGTATAATTTAGGTACAAATATGTGATATATCTGAACAACAAAGTGGTCAAAAATCATTTTATTCATTTATTGGAAACATTTTCATGATCGCTTTTTTGATTTATACATTTTAAGAATGGCGGTTTTTTTTTTTTTTACAATGAGTTCTTATTTTATTTAATGTATTTGGGTCTACAACAAATGATACAAATGTTTATGTCAGTAAATGTGCACTAACAGAGGCGGGGGTGTGTGTGAAAACAACAGGGACAGAGCTGGCTGCTGTCAGAGGAACAGCTGTGCGGCGTCATCACAGACGGACATCGCTTCACGTGACGCTCTGGAGGAAAGGACATCCCATTGCTCTTAAAATTCATTTCCCTGCTTCTCGTGGTTTCCTTGCGTCCCTCCATGCTTCCCTGGTGGGAGGGACTAGACGCAGGGAAACGATGCAAGTGAGGGAAGCAAGGATTTAATTTAACCGACCTGAGACGGGGCCCCAGACGTCCCTAAAAACTAAAAGTCCAAAACATCCAACAGGGTGGGGGAGGGGGACCGGAGGAGGGACTCGGGCGAACAGCCCGGGGGCAAAGCAGAGGCCGAGAAGGGGGACTCGGGCGGACGGCCCGGGGGAAAGGTAGAGGCCGAGAAGGGGGACTCGTGCGGACGACCCGGGGGAACAGCAACAGAGCAGGGAAGTCCCCGGCGGGGAAACTCAGGGGGCCGAAGACAGGGGTGAAGGCCTCGTCGGGGTAAATTAGGGGGCCGGACTCGAGGGAGAAGGCAGCGGCTGGGAAAGTCAAGGGGCCGGGCTCGAGGGCGAAGGCATCGGCTGGGAAAGTCAGGGGGCCGGGCTCGAGGGCGAAGGCATCGGCTGGGAAAGTCAGGGGGCCGGGCTCGAGGGCGAAGGCCGAGGCTGGGGAACTCAGGGGGCCGGGCACAAGGACGGGCAAGAAGGCGGCGACGGGACAGCTCCGGAGGACGGGCAGGAAGGCAGCGACCAAAGTTCCCATTAGAATATTTTTTCGCCGGTCAACATGTCCGTTAAAGTTGAAATCTTCCGGACAAAATTTGAAAAGTGTCGGTCAAAGGTCTTCTTTGTTATTTTTTGAGCTTTAAAACAAATTGATATGATTCGATATTAAACAAACTAATTATAGTAGAGTAATTAACTATTCAAAGTGTACAGTAACAATTACACGGGAATAATAAACGGAGCACTCTCTCCCTCTCCTGACATCCCGTCAGTATCATGCAGCTTGCGGATCAGTAATGAGTGACCCGACAGTAAAACTAAACATATCTATAACTAGTTTAGGTAGTTTGAGAGGTAATTAAAATAGCTACGTGTGATATTCTAACCTGAAGTGTGTGTTTTGTTCCGCTCACCGCCGCATGTGATTATGCAGAGCTGCGTGTCCACTCGTCAGCAGCAGCTGATCTCTCTCTCCCGTCAGATTAGACTTCACTCGCGTTTATGTCTATATCGATCAGATCCAGCTAGTTCTAGCTAATGATAGGACTACCTGCTTATTAAAAGATACCTAAACAATAAGCGTCTCTATGCAACCGGGTGAGGCCGCAAAGTATAGCGCAGCATTATGCATTTGTTTACATGCTGCGGAAGTTTATGAAGAGAATTATGCAGAAGATGTGATGCAGCATATTTTTGGTATATTCATTTTAATCTCACCAATATATAAGAGGTGTATTGCATCATGTTATCCCTAAATATATGTGTGGGTATATACATTCCTGTGTATTAATAGTTGAAGGAACAAAATACATTTTTCCTCTTAAATATAGAGAGGTTTTTTATAGATTCCTGAAACAATGTTCCCTTTTTCTTTAAAGTAGATTAGCGCAATAGTCTTTTTCTTTCACTTTTACCCTTTTCATCAAAAGGGTGCTTTAGGCTATTTTTGAGGGGTAAAATGCAGAATTACTTGTGAGTTCTGTTTTGAGTGAAAAGATTACCCTTTTGAGTGTTTTTCTTGGTTAACCATTAGATATAGTGGCTAAATTCGTTCTAAGTTAATTATGCGCATCCTGCAGGCCTTGAGAATTTAGTCACACAGTTAAGAGAGACAATGGTCCTTTTAGACTAAGGGTGAGCTTACTTCGGGTGAATAAAAGTTCAGAGATGATTGGGGGGGGTATGAAGACAGTTAGGCGTTGTTGGTGAGCTAGTTTTGAGGATGTCATGGGATAATGACTGTTTTATTCCTAACAAGTATGGCTTTCATAAAGAAACACATGACTTGGGTGATAAGATGTGTTTTGTTGTAAAATGGGCCCGTTTGGTTTTCTGCTGGCCAGCGCTGGGTCACTGTGACAAAGCATATTTTGCGTCTGCCAATGAGAGGACCTGAAAAGATGACCAGCTGACCTCACCCCTTCCTTCTGTCTTCTGGTATATGTTCTGTCGATTCCTGAGTTCGGCCTCTCTTCACATGCTGTCAGGACAGAAGGATCTCCGCAGCACGCGAACAGGGCAGAAGTGGGCCGGCTACTTCTTAAAACATTACAATATGATTTTAGTATATTGTATTATATGGTATTGTAATGTATTATAGTGCATTGCATTATTACCTTTGATAATTAAAACAGATTGTTTAAACTGGTATCTGGGTGTTCTCTGTCTGATTTCCTTCCTGTTATGATTTTAAGCAGGACTCGTCAAAACGACACGCGGAGCCGAGTGGGGTTGTAAA